TTTTTAAAGATTTTATTTATTTATTTGATAGACAGAGATTACAAGTAGGCAGAGAAGCAGGCAGAGAGAGAGGAGGAAGCAGGTTCCCCGCTGAGCAGAGAGCCCGATGCGGGTCAATCCCAGGACCCTGAGATCATGACCTGAGCCGAAGGCAGAGGCTTCAACCCACTGAGCCACCCAGGTGCCCCTCCTTAGGCTTCTTCTTATTTTGTTTTGTTTTGTTTTAAGGGATATTATTTTTTAGAGCAATTTTAGGTTCATACAAAAATTGAGAGGAAGTAGAGTGATCTCCTGTACACCTCTTGCTTTGACACGTGCATAGCCTCCCTCATTGTCAGCATCCCACCCCAGAGGGTACATTTGTTACAACTGATAAACCAACATCAACAAATCATTATCACCCCGAGTCCGTAGTCTACATGAGAGCTCACTCTTGGTGCACATGCGGTGGGTTTTAACAAATGTATAGTGACATATATCTAACATTATAACATCATGCAGAGTACACTTGACCTTTGAACAATGTGGCAGTTAGGAGTGCCAACCCCCCACACACTCAAGAATCCCCATATAACGTTTGACTCTCCAAAAACTTAACTACTAATAGCCTACTGCTGATCAGAAGCTTTACCAATATCACAAAAAACCAGTAACACATATGTTGTATATGTATTATGTACTGTAGTCTTGCAGGAAAGCAAGCTAGAGAAAAAATGTTATTAAGAAAATCATAAGGAAGAGAAAATATACTTAGAGTACGAGACTGAATTCATGGGGGAAAAAACCCGCGTGAAGTAGACCCGTGTAGTTCAAACCTGTGTTGCTCAAGGGCTGTCTGTAATTTCACTCCCTAAAAACCCTCCGGCTCTGCTTGTTTCTCCTCCTCCCACCTGAACTCCTGACAACCACAGATCCTTTAACCGCGTCCGTAGTTCTGCTTTTTCCAGGATGTCATGTAGTTGGACTCACACAGTCGGTGGCATTTCCCGGCCGGCATCTTTCCCTTAGTGAGATGCATTCAGGGTTCCCCCACGTCTTTCCATGGCTCGGTAGCTCGTTTCTTTTTAGCGCTGAGTAATATTCCCTTGTCTGGATGTGCTAAAGTTTGCTTGTTTAGTCACCTCCTGAAGGACAGTGTGCTTGCTTCCAAGTTTTGGAAATTATGAGGGGCCCTCAAAGGGTGGCATTCTTCCCAGCCCCCTCCCCTGGCCTCTCCACCACCACCACCACCACATCACGCAGCACCACCCTCCCAAACCTGTCTGCTCTCCCTCACACGCTGCTGCCATCCGCTATACCCTACCACCTGGGCGCCACAGGTTCAAACTCGAGCAAAGTTGATGGAAGCCTTGGGTCTCCATGGAGTAGGGCCTGTATAGCACATGACTGTATGACCACCTGGGTCACCTAGCATGACATCTGTTTCCCCACCAAGACCCACTGCCATGAGGGAATGACTGTCTTGGTGGCGTCTGTGTCTCCGGCTCCCAGCATGGTCCTGGCAGAGAACACACGGTCCTTGAACCCTCCAGCTGAATGTCTGTGAACTTTGAAGCCGGAGGAAAACAACAGTAAGGAAGTAAGATCTAGGGAAATGGAAATCAGCACAGTTTGTATTTTTTGTATCTATTTGCACGTGGAGAACAGTTTGGTTTTAAGAATATTCAACTGTGCCGTGTGTAATTTGGGCTGTTCATAAAATTACTGTGCGTGGTGCATGAAAATGAAGCGGACGGCTGATTGAGGCAATCTCTCCCGAAATGCACGTTAAAAATGCGTCCTAGATAGAGCCAGAAGGCGCCAAACTCCAAGGAATGTAGCATCTCTTAGTTTTTGTTGTTTTCTGAGGATCTCACCCAAATGCAGAAAGAGAAACGAAAAAAGCAAAGCCCCCGCGCAAGGTCAAGGCTGAACACAGGGGCAGGGTCGGATTCTCTGCGCGTGTCCCCGCCCCCCGGCCCGCCCACCGGTTGCTTTGGCCAATGGGACGCGGTGTAAGTGACGTAGGCGAGTCCAGACCTGGCCGCAGGATGCCCCGCGCCTGCTGCCTCGCCTCGCCGGCTGCCACGTAAGGAAGCCCCGGGACAGGTGGCGAGGCGCCACGAGGGGTGAGAAGCGCCGCCGACAGCCCCAGAACTTGTGGACAGAGGCCCCTTCAGCGCCCCCCCACCTCTGCGCACCTGCTACAGCTGCCTGAGCGCCCAGCAGAGCGCCCGACTCAGCCCCCCCGCCCCCAGCCAGAACTGGGAGCAAAGAAGACGGGGTTGTCTTTTAAGTTGCTGAGTTCCGGAGTCATTTGTTACACGGCAGCAGGTGACTGGGGTATATATCAGAAGGGTCTCTTTTCAGAGTAAAGCTTGAGCAGGGAGGAGGAAACTGCCAAAATTGTGTGGGTCTCAAGGTCAAAGAGCCATTGGAGCCAGATTTTAACATTTTTAAAAGAGCCAAACCTCTAAAATCCGTTCTGGTTCCTCTTCATCCTAACCCTTTTGAGTCAGCTGAAACGGTAAAGTCGATGGCACCCCAGTGGTCGGTCCCCAGCACAGTGTCTTGAATTAATTGATCAATCAATGAATTAATGCAAATAATGTCCCCCTGAGGAGCCGGGAAAGGGTGTAACAGCCTTCTGCCTGGAGACAAGCTGGCCCCGCAAGGTGTGTGGCAGACCCTCTCTCTGGGGCCCTTTCCTGGTTTGAAACTGGCCCCTCCCCTCCAGGGAGGCTGTGCTCCCGGCCAGGCAGTGGAGCGGGGGTCTTTCACACACCTCCCCCTTGCCAGACTGAGTCTCCTTCCTGGCTCTGTTTTCTGGAAAGCCTGGTGGGCCCCTCGGGGTTAGCGGCCGCAGCAGCGTGTACAGGAGGGTGGACAGGTTTGGGAGGGTGGTGCTGCGTGGTGTGGCGTGGTGGTGGGGAGGCCAGGGGAGGGGGCTGGGAAGAATGCCCCTCTTTGGGGGCCTCCCTCCAGCCGGGTTTGGAGGCGAGCCCGGGATGGGCCGGCCAGCCTGGGAAGCATGCGGAGCCCACGATCTCCCAGCCGCTGGGGCCTCATTGTTCAATAAGGAGATTATGAGATGCTGCACGAGTGGCGTGGTGGGGGGCTGTCTTCAGGCCTGCGACTGGCCTTGTTTTGCACACAATGACTGTGTAGTGCAGCCCAGTCAGGGTCCACTCTGGAAGGCGGCAACTGCCTCAGCCTTTTTGGGTCTGAGTTTTCTCCCTGGCCACAGTGGATCAGCTCATCTACCTCCCTACCCACCCAGCTACCTGAATCTGTCCCTTTGGAAAGCCCCAGCGCCCCCACGGAAATGGTAGGATCCGGCTCGGCCCACTTCCTGAGACAGGGAGGAAAGAAGAGCATCCTACACGGGACCGTTGTTGTTCTAGAAGCAGCAAAGGTTCTAAAAAGCCGGTCTTTATCTTTGAGGAAGTTCCAAGTTATGAGGGATTGTGCTTGAACTGCCAGGAGAGACCGGGTGCCTCCTGGGGGAAGAGGTGCCCTGGGATTTCTCGTCTCCGACACTCTTATGCTCTGGGCGAGAACAGGGAAGCAGGATGAAGCAATCGCTGTGACATCTTTGGAGGATGCTGGGGTTGGGGCCTGGAACTGATGCGCGCTTTGCTCTGCTGGCATTTCCGTGGGCGTTTGCTAGGTATTGCTGGCCAATCTCAAGAGACGGTATTTAACCTATGGTAGGGCTGAACCATGTAAGAGAATATTTTGCAACTGGGGTTTTGAACAAGTTTGTGAACTTTAAATTAAAAAAACAAACAAACAACAAAATAGGGCGTCTGGGTGGCTCAGTTGGTTAAATGTCTGTCTTCGGGGGCGCTTGGGTGGCTCAGTGGGTTAAAGCCTCTGCCTTCAGCTCGGGTCATGGTCCCAGGGTCCTGGGATCGAGCCCCACATCAGGCTCTCTGCTCGGCGGGGAGCCTGCTTCCTCCTCTCTCTCTGCCTGCTTCTCTGCCTACTTGTGATCTCTGTCAAATAAATAAATAAAATCTTAAAAAAAAAAAAAAGTCTGTCTTCGGCTCAAGTCGTGATCCCAGCGTCCTGGGATTGAGTCCTGCGTGGGGCTCCCTGCTTGGCGGGGAGTCTGCTTCTCCCTCTGCCCCTCCCCCTGCTAGGGCACGCACTCTCTCTCAAATAAATAAATAAAGATCTTAAATAAATAAATAAAACAGAATAGGTGGGGTTGTGTTGCTGAACTTGGAACTCAGAGACAATGCATCTGCTGATGAGGACATGGGCCACAGAGCTGGGTTCAGATCCCAGCTGCTCCACCTGCTAGATGTGTGACCTTGGGCAAGCTGCTTAACCTCTCTGGGCCTCAGTTCCTCTTCTGTACAAGGGGGGGGGTCATGACACGACTCATTTCGAAGGATTATTGTGAGGATTATACGTACTAAATGAACATGAGGGCCAGGCCCAGACTAAATGTTTAATAACTGTTCATTATTCGTGTTATGAGCATCAGTAGCCCTCATGTTCTCCTACTGAACCATAAAGAGAACCAGAATTTTTTCGGGAAAGTGGGAACTTCACAGGACTTGCATGGAAGGCCCCTGCTGTCTAATGCGGTCACAGGACAGCAGGGTGCCCGGTGCTCTGCCGCCCCGGATCCTGCACAAGGCCCTTGGATTATCCCCACTTTGCACCCAGGGACATGAAGGCTCAAAGAGGCTTGGGGACCTGCCCAGGTCGCATAATGAGGGCTTGTCAGAGTGACCTCGTCTGCCATCAGGGCCGCTTACCGCCTCGGTTGACGTGGGGTGCACCTTGGTTGCAAGCACGCTTTCCCTTCCGCACGGGAACGGGCCTCCTTCATTCCTTGGCTCATGGCGTCTGCGGAGGGCCCGCCACCTGCACGGTGCCTCCGGTCCCCTCTGTGCGTGTGTTCGCATCTGGGCCCAGGTTGAGTGTCTCCCCACACCCTCCCTGCCCTGTGCCTGTGGCCGCATGGGCAGGGAACCATGTGGCCACCCCGCGACCTGCCCCACCAGCTCCCCTTCCAGTGCCGATGCCCAGCTGCGGTTCCCAGACGGCCCCGGCCTCCTGCAGACCCCACGCTGGGACGAGCCGCAGAGGGCCTGCGCCCTGGAGCAGATCTGCGGCGTGTTCCGCGTGGACCTGGGGCAGATGCGCTCCCTCCGCCTCTTCTTCAGGTGAGAGCCTCTGTGGGCCGCTTCTGGGATGGCGGCTGGTGGTGCCGGGGTCCTGGCAGGCAGGGCTTTGGGTCTTCCCAAATGTTGGCCTCCCCGACATCCCTAGGCTGGAGGGCAGGGGTAACCCAGGATGCCCGCCCCCAGGAACCGGGTTGGGCCAGCTACCAGACTCTTCCACCGGCCCTCAGGGTGACGGTGGCCGGCTGTGGCTTGAGAGTCTGGCTTGGAGAAACAGCCAGACGGGCCGCACAGAGAGCAGCTGTGGTCGGCTTCCAGTCACCCACGGACCGGCTCTGCAGTTCAGTCTGTGTGTGCGGGATGTGGCCGTGGCTTTCCGGAGGGAGGCTCCCCTTTCTCATGGGGGGCGGACCAATCGTGTCCTGTCTCGTGGCCGCATCCATTCTCTCCTGAAAAGCCCAGTGGCCCAGCCACGGAATAGCCCCAGTGGAAGACCTGCTCCAAGCAGGCGTGTCCCTGGAGGGTCCCGTTGATGGAAGGGCAGGCCAGGTTGGGCTGGGTGTGCAGTGAGTTTCCCGTATGATTCTCCCGGAGTGAGAGGAGTCCAGCCCAGACGGATGGAGGAGGCTCTCTCAGTGCCCATCCCACCTGGGTTCAAAAAAATCGGATTCCACGAATGCCATCCCCCCTGGATCTCCCCGAGAGGAGGGAGCATATGGGGGGGTGTCGGATGCAAGGCCTCTCAGGCAGCTGTCCAGGGAGCGAGGACAGGAGTCCCCAGGACAGGGTTATTTTCCTCCTTCAGCCAAGGGGGTGGTGGTGGTGGGTTCTGTGCGGTGCCGTGCTGTCCGCCCCCCGCGGTCAGTGGCCAAACTCCAGGGGCCTTCATGTGTCCTGTCTCTGGGGTCAGTGACAAGAGACCTCTGATGATCCTGGGAAATAAAACCCCGCGTCCGCATATCCATTGCTCTGTTCCCCTCCCCCCCGCGCGGCGGCGCAGCGATGAGGCCTGCACCAGCGGCCAGCTGGTGGTCGCCAGCCGGGAGAGCCAGTACAAGGTTTTCCACTTCCACCACGGCGGCCTGGACAAGCTGTCCGACGTGTTTCAGCGCTGGAAGTACTGCGCGGAGACGCACCTCAAGGACCAGGTAGCGGGGTGGGGGAGGCCAAGGGCGCTGCCTGGGGGAGGGGTATGGGGAGGCCCCACCCCCGACTCCACACACCCCTGCCAGACCCACCCCTTGCCCTTCAAGCCCACGGCGGGGGGGGGAGGGTCCAGGGCTCCCCCCACCCACAGAAGCCTCTCTGGGTGGGGGGCGTGACCCTGGGGGCCCCTGGTGGTGGCTAGTCGCTGGGGGTGCTGGTAGAGCAGGACGCGGGCTCCTTGTGAAGTCAGTGCTCTGCGCTGGAGAAACCGTGTTTTGACAAGGCTTCCTGCTCAATCTACATACAAATGTGATAAGAACTCTTTAATTATCTGTTCGAGAGACCGTCTGTGCTTATTAGAAAGGGGCCGACTTGGAGCTCCCCTTCCTTCCCACCGAGCCTCCTGCTGGCTCCCCTTATTACTGTAGTGTGGCTTGCTTTCCCCCTACATCGAGCAACCTTTGATTTTTGAATTAAATGTCAGCCGCAGTTTTGCCCTGGATTCGTGACTGCCCGTGGAGACAACCTGACAGGCGGGCTCCCTGCTCGGGGAACAGCGGTCCCTTTGTTTGTGGCCAATCACATGTAATTTATTGCAGGCCCTCCCGGCAGAGGGAAGTTGGGCCGTACGAGGCATTAATTCCGTTTTTTGCGGCCAGCCGGGGGTCGCGGGGAGAGTGGGGGTGGCGGCCAGGGGGGCCGTGGTCTGTCGGCTGGTGGGTGGGTCGGTGGGAGGGCGCTGGAGGAGCCCAGCGACCCGGGAAACCGATGTTAAGATGAGGGTATTTTCATTTTAATTGCGTCTAATTACACTTGCCGTTTAGGGGTTTGTATGTGGGGAGAGCGTCCCGTCCTTTCTGGGGAGAGAGAGGGGCTTTTCCATCCTGGGGAGAGCAGGCTGGCTTCCGGCGACCTGCCCCTGCCGGGTGCTTATCTCCCCGAGCTTCTGTCCGGGCCAGCAGGTCGCCGACGAGAAGACGTGCATGCAGTTCTCCATCCGCCGCCCCAAACTGCCGTCCTCTGAGACGCACCCCGAGGAGAGCATGTACAAGCGGCTGGACGTGGCGGCCTGGCTGCGGCACCTGAACGAGCTGGGCCAGGTGGAGGAGGGGTACAAACTGCGCAAGGTGAGCGGGGTCGGGGGGCCTCCTGGGGGCCGGCCCCCTCGGGCAGGGAGGCGCGGTGTGGGCCCCGCCCAGCCGGTAAAGCAGTCCAGGCTCCGTGTGTTGAAAAGGAGCCCTCCGGAGCGGGTTTGGGGTACCCGGTGTCCGGCTGCATAGAACCGCTCGGGGTAAAATGCGGCGCTTCCAAAACCGGGATTAGGCCATGACGTGAGAACAACACGTTAATCGGAGTGCCCCACGGGGTGGGCATTGACATTGAAATGAGCCTGGCTGTGTCCTGTATGGGAATGGAGGGCTGCCACTTTTCCTCCAAACATGTGCAAATCACAGCGACCTGAATCAAGGCATCCGTTGTCACCCAGGCCCAGCAAAGCCCCCAAAACACAAATCTCCAGGGATTGGGGGGTGCTTTGAGCCGTGCTGTGTTGGCCCCTCCCCAACTTTTGCCGCTTCCTGCAGGCCATTTTCTTCGGCGGTATTGATGTGTCAATCCGGGGGGAGGTCTGGCCTTTCCTGCTGCGTTATTACAACCACGAGTCCACGTCGCAGGAGAGGGAGGCACTGCGGGCGCAGAAGCGTCGGGAGTACGCTGAGATCCAGCAGAAGAGGTAAGGCCCCCCCGCAACAAGGCCAGCCGCCCCGGGGGGCGTTAGCCAACCAGGCGATTGGCGTGCAATCCCGCATTGATATTATGTTCCGTGACCCAGACTTTCCTGGGAAGATGGGTCCCAGGCACGGGCTGATAGGCTTGGATAAGAGCCGTCATTACCCCTGGGGCTCGGCCGTGGCTCTCCTGAGCTCCGTGTCGGGGTCTGAGAGCTCGTCCCAGCAGGCTGAGCTCGGCAGCGACACCCCGCTGAGAACACCAGCGGCAGGGCGGGGGGTGCCCTCCACCAGCCAATGGCTGAGGTCTCTCCCGGCCTGGCTGAGCCCCGGCGGGCAGGCAGTGGCCAGCTTCGCTCCCCAGCAGTGCCCCCCCAAGTTAGTGGGGAGCCAGAGGGTTTGCTGGGGCAGCAGCCCAGCCCCCATCAGGAGCAGGGGTGGGCGGGGTGGACCCTGCCCAGAGCGTGCACATGCCGCTCGCTGAGCCCCAGGCCCTCCGTGCCAGGCTCTCCATGACCCCGGAAGAGCACAGAGCCTTCTGGCGCGACGTGCAGTTCACCGTGGACAAGGACGTGGTGCGGACGGATCGGAGCAACCAGTTCTTCCGCGGCGAAGACAACCCAAACGTGGAGAGCATGAGGTACCCCTTCCTGGCCAGCGGGCTTCTCCCAGCTGGGAGGACAGCCCTGCGCCCCCCTCCACCTCCTTACCTGCCACTCTGAGTCACCTCACCCTGCGGGCCCCCTCCGCTGGCCACCTGCGAAGGAACGGGTTAGCAGCAGGGGTGGGGTCCGCCTTCCAGGTCCAGAAGCAGAGGTTCATGAGCTATTTTATTTCGGCAAATCAGTCAACGTTGTGTGGCCAGTCCCTCCCCAGGGGACCGGCAAAGCCTCCCATCCCCTGGGCCTCCACCAGGCCTGGCTTGCTTGGCTCCCACCAGCCCTGGGTGAGCCTCCCTCCGGGCCTCCCAGCGATGAAACCACACAGAGCCCGAGGTGGGCATCTCTGACGTTCTGGGGCCTGGTGAATGACTGCACAACATTAGCAGCGCGTAAAAATGTCCCTGCCAGCCTGCCCTTTGTCACAGGCGGGCAGCGACCATTAAGAAAATCAGACCCACGGGGGCGCCTGGGTGGCTCAGTGGGTTAAAGCCTCTGCCTTCAGCTCAGGTCATGGTCCCAGTGTCCTGGGATCGAGCCCCGCGTCAGGCTCTCTGCTCAGCTGGGAACTTGCCTCCTCCTCTCTCTCTCTGCCTGCCTCTCTGCCTACTTGTGATCTCTGTCTGTCAAATAAATAAATGAAATCTTAAAAAAAAAAAAATCAGACCCACGTTCCTCTTTCCCCTGCTCTGGAGGTCTGGGCCTGGCAAGAGGCTACCATAGGCCCCTCCGTTTCCCTAGGCTCTGAGGACAGTCCCCAGAGCTGCCTCCCTTGCCCTGAGATCGAGGTGAAGGGGGGATTATCCTGGCAGCCTGGGTCTCCAGCCTGGGCGACAGGCCACCCAGAGCGCAGCAAGGGCGGGCCATGTCAAGACCCCGCTCTCGCTGACCGCCTGCTCTCTGCCCTGCGCCCCTAGGAGGATCCTGCTGAACTACGCCGTGTATAACCCAGCCATCGGCTACTTCCAGGGCATGTCCGACCTGGTGGCGCCCATCCTGGCCGAGGTCCTGGACGAATCGGACACCTTCTGGTGCTTTGTGGGCCTGATGCAGAACACGATCTTTGTCAGCAGCCCTCGGGACGAGGACATGGAGAAGCAGCTGGTGAGGCTGGGGGACGCGGGTTACAGCATGCCGGGGTGGGGAGAGCACGCCGCCTCCTGCCCTGGCCGCCAGAAAGCTTGGGGGCTGCGTGTGTCGTGGCCGCTGTGGGTCCGCAGGCAGAAAGGCCAGGGTGGGCATTGCCAATGGAGCCTGGGGGCTTAGCCGTGGGCCTCTGGGAAGACCCAGCTCCCTGGGAGGAGCGCGCGCTCCTCCTCAGTCCCAAGCCACAGGGACATCTGGGCTGCTCCCTGCAGGGGTCCAACACAGGATGCAGGGTTGGGAGGGTCTCCTGAGGGCCCCTGGGCAGTTGCCACGCCCCAACCCAGGCCCTAGGCCTCCCCTGCAGTGCCCGGCCCGATCACCCCTTCCTCACAGCCTCACCTCACGGGAAAGACCCAGCAGCTCTGAGGGTTGGGGAGGTGGGGGGACAGGCAGAGCTGGTAGGGTGGGGCCAGGAGCCCTCACCCGGCACCCCAGGCAGCACCTGTGTGTTCCAAACACCAGCTGGGTGCTGGGTGGACGGCACTGGGCTGTGGTCCCAGAGGGAACCCCGGCTGGGAAGCCGACAGAGACAGGAAGTCAGGCAGGCAGATCCGGCAGACTCCACGGCACGCGGGATGTGCCCAGACTTGGCCGAGCACAGGCTAGGGCAGTGATACTGTGTGTCCTGGGCTTTGGGGACCGGCCATGTCGGGGCGATGAGGAAGGAGCTGAGCGGAGCTGAGGTCTGACTGTGAATGGGAGCCGAGCACAGCAGGGGATCTGAGGACCAGGGAGCCAGGATCCGGGAGGCGTGGCTTGGAGGGCCAGGGGACGGCCGTGTGGGCTAGGGGAGGGGCCAGCCACATGCATGGTCTGGACCCTGGGGTGGGCCGCAGGGTGCTCACACTGGCAGGTCAGAAAGGATCCTCGAGGCTCTCTCCAGGGAGAATGATGGGCTCCTGGTGTGGGAGGGGCCTGAGAGTCACGGAACCCTGCCCAGGTCCTCCACACACGCCCGACCCCCGGCTGCCCTCTCTGCATCAGGCCTGTGATGACAGGTTTCCACGGCACCTGGGGAGGCAATTATGGGGTCAGACTCAATTGGCCCCTGATGGTCACGGGGCAGCATGCGGCCCTGTGACTCATTAGCGGCCAGAGATTGGTCTCCTCCAGGGTTCAGAAGTCAGCAGCCCGAACTGGGCATTGCCACAAGTAGCCTCGATCTTGTCCCTCACCCACAACCCTGGGTGGTGACCTGACATGCCCGAAACAAGTGCCCTCAGGTTCAGAAATGCCCCCTCCCTGCTGGAAGTCAGCTCTGGAGGATGGTGGATCTTGGCGATGGGAAGGTGGTTGGGGGTTTCCACGCGTGATCTGCTCGCCTTCCTGGGAGGAGGGGACGGCAGAAACAGCCCTGTGGGGTGTCTGAGGCCTGGGGAGCCTGCCCGTCCGCAGCGGGGCAGCACGCTCCCCAGGAAGCTGATCCCGCCGAAATCAGGGATCAACGAGCCAAGACGGGGTGGGGAGTTGGGTTCCCGCAGCAGAATAACGTTTGGCAGGTGCGGACGCAGCCAAGGGAGGCCCAGGGCCAGCGGTGGGGGCTTCTCGGGCTGGGGGCCCGTGGGACGGCCTCGGGAGGAGGGGGCATCTTGGGCAGAGCCTGGGCGCTCAGCGGTGCTGGTCTTGTCCCCAGCTCTACCTGCGGGAGCTGCTGCGGCTGACGCACGCGCGCTTCTATCAGCACCTGGTGTCGCTGGGCGAGGACGGCCTGCAGATGCTCTTCTGCCACCGCTGGCTGCTTCTGTGCTTCAAGCGCGAGTTCCCCGAGGCCGAGGCGCTGCGGATCTGGGAGGCCTGCTGGGCCCACTACCAGGTGAGGCAGGCCGGGGCTCAGGGCCCTGGTCTCTGGCCACACCCTGCAAGGAGGGTAGCTTCTGGGTAGCTGTGCCCTGGTTCTGGGGTTCCTGCCCCCGCAACCCCAGCCTGCAGAGACCACACACCAGCACTGCACCAGCTCACTGCCTTCTAGTCCCACCCCTTTTCCCCTGTCCCTTGGGGCTGGTTTCAGGCCTACAGCTCACCTCCCAAGTAACTGAAACGGATGCGAATTGCCCACTGACTGTGCTCATTACCGCGTCCTGTGGCCGAGTTCCTGCTGCCACAACCAATCAGTACGAAAGACATCTGTGAGGGTGAGCAGGCCCCCTGCAGCCCAGGCCGCCAGGCCCTCCTTTTCCCCCTGCACGCCTGGAACTGCTCAGGGAAAGAGCCCGAGACCCTGTGTCCCCATCAGCTCCTCTGGAGCGCCCAGGACCCACCATCCTTCCCCAGATTTCAGCTGCAAAGCCCCCGAGAGCAGCGTGCGGCCCTGTCACGTGGCCTTAACACCCAAATGAGCAACAAGCTGGCTGTGTTCAAAGATGGGCAAGTCTCTTTGAATCCATCAGCCTTTAAAGAAAGAAAAAAACTGTACCGACGCATCTGGGAGGTGGCCAGGATCCTTTCTGCAAGGGCCAGCTCTGTCCTTGCCGTGGAAGCCAGGAGCTTCCGTTAGAGAAGCCTCGCGGGCAGATGGGAAGCCCGGCCAGCCGCAGACTTGTGAGCCGGCCCACTCCGCTCTCACTGGCATCGCTGGAGGAGCGTCTCTGAGAGCAGCGAGTCCCAGCCGTGCTGGTGCCCCAAGCCGTCTCCGACCCCGCCCGCGCTCCCTGCGCCCCCCCCCACCCTGCACCCCGCCTGAATGAGGGAGCCGGGCGCTCCGCATTCATCGGGGGAAGCACAGCACGGATGGGCCCAAACGCTGGGCCACGTGTGGTTTTTTTGCATCGTGTCTGCTTTGCAAGGCTCCACCGACGTTCGTCCAGCAGCAGGGGACACCCTGTTTAGGCTCCCGTCACAGGTGGACTCTGGACGCCACCCAGCCGCCGGAGCCACTTGGCCTGGCGCTTTCCATCCCTGAGCTCATCTCCACCCTAAGTGTCATGGAATCCAGTGGAAACCGTGGGAGAGGCCCCTCTGGGCGTCTCTAGTGGCCACAGTTCTGCGTGAACCGATCAATTGATGTCTCTCAGACCCTGGACCGTGTTGGCCCCACACCTTGATGACATTGTGGTGCAGGGGTGGGGGGGGAAGGTGGTTGAATGCTGGGAGTGGGAATAGGTTACTTCCTCAGGAGTACGTGCCCTGGGCCGGTGGCGGGCTCTTCTGAAGTGAGCCCTGTGTCTGTGGGGGCTGGACTGCCCCGGGCTTGTCCTGGGAATGGAGTTAGTCCTGTCCTGCTGCCCAGCCCTGTGTGGGACACGCCTCACCCCTTCCTCCCCACGTTTGTCTCTCCGAGGAGCAGCACACACCCCCCTTCCCGGAATCCTGCTGTCTCCTGCCGTGGCCCAGCGGAGGAGCCAAGCAGGAACAAATCCATTCCGGATTAGTTCAAAGGAAGGGGCCGGGCAGCCTGGGGGTCTGTCTGTCCCTGGCAGGCAGGGTGTGGGGCGTCTGCTGACTCCAACCTCTGCCAGAATTGTGGGCTCCGCCCGGCCGGCCTCTCTGTTCCATCCGGCTGGCCGACATTGGGAGACTAAACACGGGCTTCCTGGTGCTCCTTACTCTTCCTCTGCCCTTGGGGCCCGCGAGAGTCAGAGGCAGCGCCCCCTCCCTGCATCCGGGGCCCCCTCCCAGCATCCGGGCGGGGGAGCTCACAGGAAGTGCCCCGTCAAGTGTGGGCGCACCGGCGTCCTGCCGGGTGCCTGGCGTTGCTGGGCCCTGGGGTGAGGTGGTCTCCAGGGAGGGCGGCAGGGTCCTCTGTGGGGTCCGTGAGGAGACAGTGAAAGACAGCAGGATCGTCGGGTCGCGCCGTGGGGGCCCTCCGGGCTGTCTCGCTCCTCTCCGTTAGGGTCGTCTCCATTTCTTAGCAACAAACCTAGGGGTCATCTCTGGGGCAAGGGGTGGGATGGTTCAGCCCGGAGGGAGGAGGGCGCTGAGCGGAGGGCGGCTGCTGGAACGTTCTTCCTCGCTGGCGCGTCCACAGCCCGCTGGCCGCATTCTGACCCAGCGCGGACGGTCACGAGCCCTTCTCGGCCTTTTGTGAATAGGCTTCTTCCCGGTGAGCCAGGGCCTTCCGAGGAAGCTCGCGCCTGGCCCCGTGAGGGAGTGTCCCCGGGGGGACCCCAGCGGCAGGGGTAGCTCAAGCGGCCGCCCCTTTGCATGTCACAGGAGCCTGTGGTGTAGTATTGACCTTGGCCGGAGCACAGGTGGGGAGACAGGGAACGGGGCTCGGCCCGGAGGGCTCACCCCACAGCTCTGCCCTCAGCCGCCACCTGCGCCCTTCTCCCCCTCAGACCGATTACTTCCACCTTTTCATCTGCGTGGCCATCGTGGCCATCTACGGGGATGACGTCATTGAGCAGCAGCTGGCCACCGACCAGATGCTCCTGCACTTCGGAAACCTGGCCATGCACATGAACGGGGAGCTGGTTCTCCGGAAGGTGAGTGCCCGCCCCTCCCTCACGCGGCCCCACCCACCAGGCTTGCACAGCCCCGCCCCCTGGCCTCAGAGCCCCGCCCACACGCCGAGCCCCCAGTATGGGGGCGGGGCTTGAGCGCAGGCCCCGCCCCGTGCGGGCCCGGGTCTGGGGAGCTCCCGGCGCAGGGCTGGTCCACATCCAGGCGGGGACACCAGAGTTCTCCGCCTCGTGGAGGGAACACGTTGTCCGGCTTGACAGACCCTCCCGCCCTTGGGCACCGCCCTCCGCCCAGAACCGGCGGCTTGAGAAGGCAGCGTTGGGGGAGGGCGGCCACATGTCCCCCGTGGAGGGGCCGGGATGCTGCTGACCACTCCCCACTTCCCGGTCTCCACCCGCGATGCCCAGGTGGGAGCCCTATCGTGGTCTTCGGGGGCTGGCAGGAGCGACACAGAGGCCAGCGGTCGCGTGGGTAGGAAGTGGGCACAGCGCTGTCCACGGCCGCGCAAGCGGCCAGGCGGAGGACGAAAGGCGACGCCACGGGGCCGCCGGAGCGCTGGGGCGTCCCAGCCAGGGGCTGAGTCCGAGGGGGCAGACGGAAGGGCAGGGACGGCCACTGAGACGGGCCCCTGGGCCGCCCTACTCCCCCTCCCGAGGAAGGCGTTGGGGAGCCTGCCCCACCCTCCCCCACCCTGTCCTCTCTTGGCAGGCCCGGAGCCTGCTGTACCAGTTCCGCCTCCTGCCCCGCATCCCCTGCAGCCTGCATGACCTGTGTAAGCTGTGCGGGACCGGCATGTGGGACAGCGGCTACATGCCCGCCGTGGAGTGCACGGGCCACCACCCGGGCTCAGAGAGCTGTCCCTACGGGGGCACCGTGGAGACGCCCTCGCCCAAGCCCCCCAGAGAAGGCAAGAAGGGCCGGAAGACGCCTCGGGAAGGCTTCGGTTTCCGCAGATAGGCGGGGCTCCCTGCGCTGGAGGAAGGTGGAGGGACCCCAGAGGGCCTGGGCACCGAGGAGGGGTTGGGGATGGGTGTGGAGGGGTCAGGGGAGGGTGGAAAAGAAAGGGGAAAGACTTGGGGCAACAGGAAGGGAACCTTTTTGTATTAACGACATAAGGCCAGAGAAAAGCCACCTCCCAGAAGAGTAGGGCCAGAATGTGCGGTCCTTCTGCCTGGAGAGGCAGGCTGGCTGGCTTCTCGGGGTGCCTGCCTTTGGCGGGTCTCAGCGTGCCTCAGGGACTCCTCCAGCTCCGTCTGTACTGGGCGGTGCAGCCAGACGGTGTGAAAGGAGCCGAGGGCCTGCTCACCCAGCAGCACAGGAAGGCAGAGCCGAAGAAGGTCCCGTCCAGCCCAGGGACATCTTTGTGAGCTGAACGCGCCCCCTCATCAGGACCCATTTCCTGAGCAGGCCAGTCTCAGCTTCGCACAGCTTCAAAGCTAATACAAAGATGTCTGGAAAAAGAAAAAAAGAAGAAACCCAGTGATTTCAGAATAGACAAGTGTAGGAGCAGCCTGAGGGTCCGAGAAGCTGGGGGCTCTTCCGTGTCTGTTTACACATTTTATCCTCCTGGGACGTGAGGCAGTCTTCCTGCCGCTGAGCCCGAGACGTGGGCTGTTGGGGGTGGTTGGGCCTTCTCCCACGCTGGGGGCGTGGGTTCTCCACGAGGGTCTCAGACGTCAAGATCAGCCTCACCAAACACGGCCGCCAGCTGGGGGCCGCATGGGTTGGGCCCTGGGCGCGCAGGCGAAATCCCCACCCTCTGGGGGAGGCTGAGCGCCCGGGACGAGGCATCCGAGAGGCCTGGAAGGATCTTTGCTTCCCTGCAGGGCCTGCTCGGTGTGACTGTGGGCCTTCGCAGGTGGCCAGGCGCAGCGGCGGCCCCGTCATGTAGCCGGCACTCAGAACACCGCTCCCACCTCCGGATCCGGAAGATTTCTGTCGGTTGCTCCTTCTGGGATTTAGTGACAATGGACAGAGGAAGGCGTGGGAGCCCCCAGCCGGCTGGAAAGCATCCAGCTGTCTGCTCAGAAAGCGGTTCTTGAGCTGGTGGGCTCACGGAGGCTCGAAACCTTCTTGAATTCTCCTGCACGCCCGGGGAGTGCTGAGAATCCTGGTGGAGACAGCGCCCTACGGAGGCTTCTTTCTGCTCTTCTACCCCCCGGGAGAGCCAGCCACGCTGCTGGTGCCATGTTGAAAAGATGTTTTTCGACGGGAGAGAGGAAGTTACCCACCACCTTCTTTGAAGCTTGTCTGTTTCCATGAGCTCAAGTCCTCCAGCATCTCCAAGTTGCCCGAGCCTTCTGGGGAGAGCCCCCTGGAGCCCCCTCAGTCCCCGGGTCCTGGGGGGCTGGCCGTTTCAGCCCTGCAGCAGGGTCCAGGCCGGGTGGGGTGGACTTCTTACCTGCTCTACGTCTGGGAAAGGGGGTTGGATGCCTTTCTGTGCCGGCCCCCAGTCTGCTGTGGAAAAGACGCTGTACCAATGCTGCGCTAGAAACCATCTCGCCGCGAGGAGGAGTATCGGTTAGCCACCCTGCAGCCGTGCTGCGTAGGGAAGAGCCCCCAGACCCATCTACCACCCATGCAGGGTCAGGGGTTTAGACCGGCCACCTCTGGTCTTGGCTGGCCGTGTGTCCACGGCTGGCTCAGAGGGGCTGCTCATGTGTGTAGAGACCAGACCTGGCACTGTCTCTTGCCCCACCCCGCCCCCGCAAGCTGACCTTGGTCAAGACGAAAGTGCAGAAGCAGAAATGCACAGGCGCCTTCCCAAGCCTCAGGGGAGGCCACCCTCACTGTCATCCCATTGCTAAAGCAAGTCCCATGTCTGGACTCAGCATCCAGGGCTGGGGAGTGGACCTTCCCTTTAGCAAGAAGAGCTGAATGGTGATGGCAGGGGGCTGGGAAGTCCGATGGGGAGGAACTGGGCTGTGGGTATGTGTACCATCCCCTCCAGGAGGTTTTGGTCCAAATAGCCCTGTTTGGGAACTCTCCTGTCAGGGGGCAGGACTTCCCTTGGAAAGGCAGGAGATGCCAAGGGGGTAAAGGATGCTTCTCAGCTCATACCATCTAGGAGGCAGCAGCCGCGCATTTTACTGAGACACCTTGTGCCTTCGGGCTGCTGTGGATTTGTGGGGGGGTGTTGTCCAGGGATCCCTTCCCTTTGGAGGGTCCTGAATACAAGGCATTCATGCTGAGTTTCCCGGCTCCCACAGCTCCCCAAGACAACATACCAAGTGCCACCCCACCCTCAGTGCTCCCGACGCATGCCCCTGTGCTGAGCTGGGCCCCCAGGAGACCTGTGCCTCTAGAACAGCCAAAACCTCAGGAACAGAAGCCCTGGGGGTGTGGGCGCTTGGAGGAAAGGCTGCTCTGGAGGGCTGGGGAAGGCCCGCCTTGCAGGCTCCCTTAATCTGGGTGTCTTTAGAGGAAGCCAGCCAAAAACCCTGCGGCCCCAGGATTCTTCCCAGCCAGCAGAAGGCATTAGGGTGATAATTCCATCATTAGACTTCTAGCCTTCCCACCTCCCAAACGTACAAATATGCGATAATCAGCCCGGCACGGCCATTGTCGGTGATGCTGCTTATTTAACCCATTTTTTTAAATGACACTTAATGTTATTGGCTGGTGTGCGTGTGTGCGCATACTTAATTTCCCTCCTGCTAATGTCTGTGCTGACGTTCCAGAATGTTGCCGGGGCCCCTGGGAAGAGAGGGAGCCTTTGATACGCTCCTGCTGGTGTAGACGGGGCCGCATGGCAGGGGCATGGCAGGGGCTTGCCGGCCCAGGGAGGGTTCCCGTTCCCAGAGAGGAAGGGACGGCGGGAGGGTGCTGGGAGGGTGGGGGACACGCAGGCTGGCAGGGTTGCATGTTGTTAGGTGCAGAGAACAGTGTTTTTATTCCAGAAGGCTCCAACTCAAGTCCCAGCCAGGAAGATTTGGAACCCACAAGTTGTGGGATTTCGTGTCCCTGAGCCCATCAGTGGGAAGTGGATGGGGTTGGGAGGGGCCCCTTTGCACAGAGGATGGTCTGCAGTCCGGAAGGGGTGGCCCAGCTCCCTGGGGGCCTCCGTCTGCGTGCCATGAGTAGGCGTGTTGTTCTGATCAGCTGCGTGTCCGGCAGCATGGAGGTTTTCAAATCCCAGACCTGAAGCACGTGTCCTTTGAGTTACTCCATAAGAGCCTACTGGAAGCCCCATCTGCGGAGGGCAGCCGGACAGGACAAAGCTTCTGGTCCTAAGACGGTGGCCTCTCCCAGGCTAGGTGGCGGGGGCTGGCAGAGGTCAGCCGCACTGATCTTTGACAGGTGGCCTTCCAGAAATGGGGCAAAGACTGGGGGCCATCGTGGTGGGGGGTGATGCTCTGTGGCTTCCCCCTTGGTTTTGGGGAGGTCCCTCCAAGCTCTCGTGGCCATTCCTTGTTTGGTAGACATGACCTGGAGCGTGGCAGGCTCAGGATGACGGGCATGTGCTCACAGCAGAGCCCCGCAGAAGCCTCAGTCATCCGTCTGGCCTCCCCTCCCCCGCAGGGAGGCTGGCAGGTGTCAGGGACACCAGGGTTCACGTGGCAAAGAGAAGGAAGCCTTTCCAGTTTGCCCAGCAGAGGCCCCTGGTGGCCACCCTGTAGGGAGGAAGGAAGAGGCGTTCCCCCAGGAAGACCCACACACGTGCGGGGGTGTGGACTGGGCCAGAGGAGGTGGCCTGAGGCCAAGGGAGGGACGGGAAGGTCCGGCCTGAGGCTGGGCATGCCACATCCCCAGACACTCTAGGGAACCAGACCCAGGATCCCCTGAGGCCGGTGTTTCTAAGCCACGTGGCAAGGCTGTCCCTTGGAGTGAAAACATTCTGTCCCTGGATGTCCCTGGCTCAAAGGGAACAGCCCCAAAATAAACAGCTCATGTCATCCCAAGTTGTGAAGGCTGAGGCCTGGGCTCCCTCTAGGGGGTGAGTGTGGTCAAGCCTCAGTTTCCCCATCTGTAAAATGAGAAGGTTGACACCCGCCACTCAGGGAAGAGACCACTGACCTTGGCCTTCAGCAGCCTTGCCCGAGAGCCGCAACGTGCCCCCTGGCTCCAGAGCTCTCCCTGCTTTGGGAGTCAGCAAACCCATTCCCTCTCACGCCCACCTTGCTGCATACCCGGCTGACGGGAAATCTCTCTGTGCCTCTTCTGTAACATTCACCCCACGCCCTCCACTCCTGCCACCAAGAAAAGTCAACCATGAACCATAACCTCAGCACCCCTGCAAGGCGTCTGCGTAGGCGTGCAAGGCTCTTCCATGGGAATGTGGTCCATGCAGGCAAGGTCTTACCCTTCCGCAGAAACCCCCCGAGCGGGGACTCAGGCCTCCTGGGTCAGTACTGTTGGACCCCGGTAGGGGCCTCCCTCAGCCTCCAGGGAGCAGGGCAGGGGTGTACGCGGCCTGCGGGCATCTGGCCCTTTAAATATGTGGCATTGAATTTCTAGGTGGGATGGGCACCTTCAGAGCCCAGGGCCCTCCTCTCTCCAGCGGCTCTGCTCGGAGGGCAGGGCTCTGCCTTGATCATGTCCGCCTTGATTGACAGATTACTCTTGTTCATGGCAAGCAATTCTTTGTGTTTTGTTTTATTTGTGAATACAATCACCTGTCCGTTGGGCCCCACCCCCAGCCCAGGACTGGTCACCACCACCCCAGCCGTGCTTCCGCCTCCCGTGGATTCCCCTGAAAAGTAAATAAAATCACACTGACCACAGACAGACGCTGTCCGGCGCCTCCAGAAGGCCCCGTGGGGTCTCTTCGGCCCCCGTGTGGCAGGTTCCAGTGCTGGGCACAGAGGGCCCCCAAGAAGAGCCCCCAGATGCCTGGGGATTCGTGATGGGGAAGGGGCCAATGACCGGGGGTGTGCAGGAGGGAGGGCCCGGGCCGGGGCCAGGAGCAAGGGAGGCTCCTGCCTCTGCCTCGGAGGGGTCGGTGGGGGAGTTCAGGAAAGGCTGGGGCAGGCCTGGGAACCCCCGGCAAGTGGGGGCCCCGCGCCCGGCCCGGCGCCTGGAAGCACACAGTGTTTTATTGAGCCTCGAC